GGAGTACTCAATACATATGAGTTATGGAGTACTTAATGTGTAGGAGTACTCAATACATATGAGTTATGGAGTACTTAATGTGTAGGAGTACTCAATACATATGAGTTATGGAGTACTTAATGTGTAGGAGTACTCAATACATATGAGTTATGAGTACTTAATGTGTAGAAGTTCTGGAGTATTCAATACATATGAGTTATGGAGTACTTAATGTGTAGGAGTACTCAATACATATGAGTTATGGAGTACTTAATGTGTAGGAGTACTCAATACATATGAGTTATGGAGTACTTAATGTGTAGGAGTACTCAATACATATGAGTTATGAGTACTTAATGTGTAGAAGTTCTGGAGTATTCAATACATATGAGTTATGGAGTACTTAATGTGTAGGAGTACTCAATACATATGAGTTATGGAGTACTTAATGTGTAGGAGTACTCAATACATATGAGTTATGAGTACTTAATGTGTAGAAGTTCTGGAGTATTCAATACATATGAGTTATGAAGTAGTTAAAGACCCAAAGCTCAACTTATGGCATTCGTAAAAATGTCTACTGAACCAGCAATATAAATACAATTAAAAAATATCAAGATATCGAGGGATAAAAGAATATTTTCTGAGATTACTGTGACAAAAATGTGTAAATGGCTGGTAGTTTTAAAAGTGTTGTTGATCGCACAATTACCAAAACTTAACTGCAAGTAAATAAACAATAATATTAAATGCATATTCATTAAACAAATTAAAAAAGGATCTTATTTTAATCAGATTGAATCCTTGCTGTGATACTCCTTATCGAACGCAGCATTTACTATCAACTTTCTGGTGACTGCCAATCAACTTAGTTGATAATGTGATGGGAAATGTTTTTTTTTAATTGTTTATATGGAAAATACGGCCATAGGTGAGACAATCGCTTTCTGTCATACTCACTGATTCAAAGAAATTATATTTTTAGTCTGACGAGTTGCGCCCTCTGGCGAAGACCAGAAACATTTCGGAACACATTTTCGACTAAATGTCGTTGGGGGCGCTATGACTGCTATATTCCCACCGCCGCTGTGAAGCAGAACCAGCAGATGTTATTTTTTAATTACCCCCCTCCCCTCATGAAAGCAACTCGTTTTATGGCTCAGTGCAATAATAGACAAATGTTACCAAATTTTGTTTGCATTCTAGAATTATTGTAATTCATCCATCGCCCGCAATAAAACACAATTAAATACAGAAAGAATAATATTATATAAAACATAAAAAATACAAATTAAATAACCCGTGGCGCAGACACAACATTGTCTACAGCTCCAATTAGTTCTCTAAATGTAAGATTCTGTGTCAAAATCCCGACAGTGTCAACTCGGATATACATAGCCGTGTAACTTTATAGATCGTTATTTTCAAATGTATGTGGTTATCACGTTACATACATTCCAAAATCATAGCACCGACTCAAATTTGCATACTATAACAAATTATTTGTTCTCAAAACATACGATCCAGAACTTCCACACAATAACTACTCTCGGCAAAGTCAAAACCGGATATAGTGGTGAAAATAAATATATCATTATTTTCAAGTGAGTATCCCAACACATACATTTCAAAATACTATTGAGATAGCACCAACACAACATTTCCTACTATTAAAACATTATTTGTTCTCAAAACATACGACTTTGCGTCCAAAACCGGATATACATAAATCATTATTTTCAACTACATGTATATTCAGATAAAAACATATCGACACAAACAGTTCTACACTTGGCATAACAAGTGCACAGGCTGGGCCCTAATGAGGTGCGTTATAAACTTTAAAAAAAAAAAAAAAAACGGGTAAGCGAAGTTACTGGTAATTGGATTCCTTGGGTACACATATTCATTAAATCCTCCGTCATTGGTATTTTATCGCATCAGACTGCAAGCAGTACAGTGGAGTCAAGATTTGAGGTTTTCAATTTAGATTCATGATTTGATAAAATACGTCTAGTCCATTCTTGTTTTTTAGCTATTGAACGTTGCATTCAAGTTGATAGCACCTGGACACTGTAGCATCTCAGTGGCACACCGATAGCGATTATTGTGCAACAACAACACTATCTCTAGCTATCCCTATTGACATTGAGCATATATGATCCTCACATGCAAGAATTCAGACGAAAGTTTGAGGAGCATAGTAGATATCATCTTGGTTTTATGTCACTGCACAATAAATAATAGTTGCAAACCTACACGTCTTTCCATGTGGTTATATGTAGTATGACAAGTTTGAATTAAACACATTCATTGCTTAATATATACCATATTAAACTGATTCAACAAACCTATTAATTATTTTCAAGGCCTTGGCTTGCTGTCACACGCTGCGTAGAGTACGTGTAATTATTTGCCTGTTGTTCATGAAAAACTCACTGACAGGTGAGTTGTTTAATAGTTTTAAGCAGCTTGATTTTAAGGGTGATAGTCGTTTTTTTGTGGAAAAACAAAGTTATGTGTGACAGTTTTGTTATCAATGTGGGTCTATATGTCGAATATCGCTGTGTTGCTCGTATCAGGTATATGATACAGTTGGTTATTAGAAATAGAAATCTTTTCGCATGCAATAGTGTGTCTTAATGCACATATGAAGTAGTGTAGCTATATCTGATGACTGCAATGATTTAATGAGTGTATGGATGTTCTGTATCCTATTATATCCAAATGTAATTCTGTCATAAACAGGACAAATCAGTAGATAGTGTTTTCTACAGCATTTTCTGTACAACCATTGTATACCCTCTATTTAGGGTCATTAAACCCGTCTTCTCCATTCGTCGACGTGCGAGGGCACTTTTGTGAGCTTTTAAAACAGTTATGAGTTCGCATGATTTTGTTAAAATATTGCTTTTCCATGTCGGGAACTCGAAGCATAAATTCTGACGTAATAATGTTTTTGCTTCCGACTTCCTGTGGGCCAGTCAACGGTTAAGTCACGCTTATCGAAATCCGCCGCCGCGTTATCTATTTGTACCTATCCAGTAAATCAATATATTAAACGGAATACGCAGTATGCATTTCGAGGAAGTTGATGTGAAGTTAGTTCTAAAAGTTTGAGCCAAATTTGTGTGAATCTTCTGAGGGTTAAAACAAAGATCGGTAAACGACTGCATTCACCCATAACTGCTCAGGCTTCTTTGGCTGTTCTTTGGTAATATTTTGAGGAAGCCATATTACACGTCTACACCATCTCATTTTGTTGATCATAGTAACCATGTACTTCAGCTCCATAACAAATACTAATAGTTGGAATTGTTAAAGCAATTACAAGTTAGCAACATGCAAATTATATTTTCATTAGGACATCATCTGCCTGCGCTGCTGTTGCCACAGGCTATGGACCTTATATTTCAAGTAGACAACATGACACCATAGTAACCAACCACTTCAAACTCATGTCGTGAAAAACACCTATGTTAAATGGCGGTGGTCGTCGTGTCGCGTCCTGTTCGATATGGGACTCATAGCGACGTATACAACGCGTGTAAAATACATTGTTTATTTACATGAAATTCGAACACGCACTGCCACCAAAATAATTCTGGGGTATTCTTTGCTGTAAGTTTATAACAGTCTCAGAAAATAAGATAACATCTGCGCAAAGTAAATATTGTAAATATCCTGCTTTATCATTATGTAAGTCACAGAAGTATTCATACCAATCGCGTAAATCATGTTTTGACCCAAGTCACTATATTACCACAGGCCCAGGAACTATAACCCCCCCCCCCCTCCCGCTCATAGAGACTGCGTACTACAGTTGATTATAGTTCCTGGGCTCCCTGTGATATTACGATGTATGCATCCCAGCATACACCAAATGTCTTTCCACGATATTTGTTCATTTAGCTTTTTGTAATAGTTTCGTATAATATTAAAAGGCGGTGGTCGTCCTGTTCGATATGGGGCTCATAGCGACGTATACAACGCGTGTAAAATACATTTTTTACATGAAGCCGCTCTTTATTCGTGATTGATGCAATTGTCCTATAACCATCTTGGGGAACATCTAGAATTATGGAATCATTGCACCTTTATAGCTTACAAACTTTCTTAAATTGGACCACATTTATTGGAATAATTCACTACGAATGGATTAAAATACGGTTGACTTATTTTTTAGTCGCCATGGTGCCCGCGCTGATTTCAGTTAATGTTTACATTATGGTAGTACTTGCACAAGCTGCAGTCAGTTATTTGTCTGGCACGTTTAGTATACGTGTGTGTGTCCGATTATGGTACACCGGCGGACTGACATTGCTGGATGAATACTTTGTTAGCTACATTTACTGCAAAACACAGTATTATATTTCAGACAAAGAATAATCACAATAACAAAGATGAATCGAAATTTGATTTGAGTTTGGTAGGTTTGAACCCGATTTCTAAAAAGATGTATTTCTTCACTTTTATGTGACCGTAATTGGCGCTAAACCTGCAACTCAGGGGTTGACCGTTATAAACTAACGGGTAGCGTAGAACTACTGTTCAAAAAAAAAAAAAAAAAAAATCTCCACCCAGTTTTGAGCTACATTTTTACACGACGATGTTGTTGTAACTGTTGTATATATATATTTCCTGTAGAATTTTATTTTACGTTTTTTTTTTTTTTGTCCACGTTATTTTTCTTTAAATCCACAAGCTCCCCAGACTTTCTAATGGTCAACCCCTTAGTACCTATCAGCACATGGCGGATTAACAACTGGCGGATGTGGTATATAAAATCGCTGATCATTTTTCAATTTCATTTACTGCTGAAACACATTTTTAGTTGTTATATTTTCTACGCGCAATGCTTCGTGGAAATGAAATATCTAATGAATTACTTACAATTCCCGGAGCTCAATATTTTTAATGTTTGCAAAGTAAATTCTCTAAACAAGATTTAACGCTTGGGCGTGGACAGATAAAGTTGGCTGGACTTGACATGCGCAGACAAAAGGACGTTTATGGCTAGTGGAAAATGGCGGACGTCTCAGGGTTATTGCGGAGTTTTTTTCAAATATGACATACGGTTCATGGTAGTTAGATGGGTCATGGGTTTGTTTCGGACCAGGAGGGTGAAAGACTTGGTTTTGAGGAAATGTTTTGTTACTATTTTCATGCTACTCTCCTGTGCATCGTGTGTTTCCATGGTGGGTTACTGGGTTTATACTGACCCAAGTGCAGGTAGGTGACCGTCTTCTATGATGTATACATAGTCTCTTACCATCCTCATATTTTCGTTTTATAATTATATTGTTGGGAGATAATCACTCCTATGGCTTAATTCAAAATATACCATGTGTTGCATGACACTCCACATCAATTCAAATAATAACTGGCAGCCTTTAGCATTGTATTATTGCCCAATTGAACTCGATATAACTTCATTGCGATCGCATAATACTTTGAAAAGAACTCATTTTTCTTTGAAATATAACGATGCCATTTTTGTAACCATGAAACAAAAACAAGACAAAATCAAATTTTACATTCTGTTATTGGTAGTATATTTACTACAATCCAACATGGCGGATGTACCCGATGCCCAACTTTCCTAACACAGTGTTGCATTTTTTGTTGGATGTTGTTACAAAGAAAGTTTCGGGTGCCGCGTATATTTAATACATAAAACCACATTTCATGTACCGTAGCTGTCACGAGTTCAAATATTACCAGTCAAGTTAGTAGGCGTGTATGTATGCCCTCTCATTTGTCCATTTACAATACATAGCGCTCGTTTCCATTGAATGCCCTTTGTTGCACTCAAGATAGACAATTGTATGGAGGTGTAAATAAACCACGCGTGTGTATTATCCACAAGTTAATGCGATCAACAAGTACGCAATGAGGTATCGTATATAAGGTGTTCGCTGGTCCTTGTCGCCCAACAAGTCTGTAATATGATCTTGCATGCATTGAATACCAGTGGCTGTGAACGGCCATGAATGAACTGAATACAAAGAATGTTTACATTTAGTGCCCATCCATTTGCCATGTTACTATAAACTAAGATAATGCTGGAATAGTGGACATGGATGTTTCAACATTCAGTAATGTTAGAAACCAACTTAACCACATATTTCTGGAAAATTCAGCTCATTGGGGCTGTGTTTTCTTATTCTACACAAGGTTTTAGATAGGAAATTCCTAGAATGTGATGTCATTCTTATCAGGCTTGGTTTATCAAGGACATTACAACTAAGTCTGCAATTGAGGATGTCCATCTTTCATTTTGTCGGTTCATTCTTGGTCTCTCAAAATTCACACCAAAAATGGCTGTTTATGGTGAGCTAGGAAGGTACCCCATTGACTGTTTTATCAAGAAACAACAACTTAAATATTTCAACCGGGTAACAAACTCTGATAACACATTACTAAGAGAAGCCTACTTAGTAAATAAGAATGTAAAAAGTAAATGGTTTACAAGTGTAGAAACCCTCATGCAAGATATAGATGTTGTCACCATTGTAAACTCAAGTGAAAAAATAATTAAGAAACATTTAGACTTTATTCATAAAAAAATAAACAAATCATTTGAGAACCAATGGATCTTAGACATGCATAATGATAATAGAAAACAAACCTTGGCTAAAAACAAACTAAGAACATACAGACTTTTCAAACAAGATTTAAAAATTGAAAATTACCTAATTAATATGCAGAACCATGGTCTTAGAAGGTTAATTGCAAAATTCAGGACAAGCAACCATGACCTTAAAATTGAGAAAGGCAGACATAATAATGTGCCGCTGGATAAAAGAACATGTGAGCAACATTTTTTAATGAAATGTCCAGCTTACAGTCGCCATAGGGACAAATTATTCCTGACTGCAAAAAAAAAAAATTCCAAATTTTGATAAAGAAAATAGTCAGAATAAATTCATTTTTAATTATGGCAAACCATACTCTAGCACCAGCCTTAGCTGTCTTCTTAAAAAACAGCTATGGAACAAAACAGCAACAACTATCAGTGTATTAGGCCACATTTTGTGTTCATTCCATATTCTGTATTCACCATTGGCTGCAAATTGTCTTTATTGTTTTTGACTTGTTTTATTTTTTTTAGAAAAGTTTTTATTTTTTGTTTTATTTTTTAGATTGTAGTTTTTTTTTTAATTTCTTTCTGTAAGACCCTTTTTATCCTTTCCTAAGGATTTTATGCGTCTAATAAAAAAAAAAAAAAAAAATATAGCATGATCATTAATAATAGTTATTTATTGACATTTGAAAAACAGTACTCAATAAACAATAGTTATTTAAAAAAAAATATTCTTCAGTTATTTTCTATATGAAATAGGATTTTATTGGTAATATTTCTCAGTACTTTATTTTTTATGCGGTTTTTATGTCCATCATCATTAGCACAATTTACAGTAGTCATTAACTGTATGTTGAGATGATGTTGAAATAACCCTGGCCTCAGTGAAAGTTTGCATGTTACTCACATGACTCTTAAAGGATAAGATAAGTCAAATAGGAAGTGTGTGAGTATAAAATATCACAGGACATTTACTAATGTGTCCCCTGTTAGCGATGCAACTTTCAATTTTAGCTAAATCAGTAATGCTTTAGCTACTTCTGAAGAAAGTTGTTAAAAAATAAATTAAAATGAACTTTGGAGGACATGAACTGATATTTTGGCAATTAGCAGCTTGGTTAATAATTAACATTTTAATATAACAACATAAGTTTACTATTTGGCTAAATAATATAAACACTGGGTGGATCCAGTGTTATCATAGTTCAAGTATTGTAACCTCTATTTATGTACAGTGACGGGGGTGGGGGGGGGGAGGGGGTAAAGGTCATAGTGTTTATTTATATATGACTCAGACTGTTGTGCATTTTTTACCTTAGTCCAATGGTATGCTATATTTTATCAAATAAAGCCCTTTTAAAATAAAAATTCAACTTTTTGGGTTGTAATGGATAACTCTCCAGCTGATTCATTGTCATCTTTCTATTGTGGAGAAACTTCAAAATATTCATTTGCGATCATCAATGTTTTGTCCACCATGTTTAGCAATCTCATTGGTTTATTCAAACTACACATTCCTAATTAACTACAGTTGTTAACAAAATAAAAACATATTTTTCTAATAATGAAATTAATACACCAGCTGTTTTAATTTAGCTGCACATTTTTTCCCGATGATTTGGCATGAGGACCATTTGTGTTCTTTTGCTCATGATTTCCCATCAAATTGTTTTTCTATGACATTCTGAAACAAAGTACAATGTAATATATTTTGTCATATTCAACTTCTTTCACCAACAATATGAGAAATCTATGGATTTTTTTCTATATTGTTCAAACACATCAAAACGTCCCAGGGGGAAGTCTCTGAATAAAATATGGTACTCAAAACGTGTAAAAGGGGTGTTATTTACTAGTAGTTATTTGATGCGTAAATGAGTGTACCGTGTTAGGGTCTACCGTAATATTTTAAAATATATAAATAAAGTGTGAAAAAAGAAATCTCATGAATTCATGTACCTAAACTTGGAAACAGTATGATTTTAGTATATATATATTTTAAATTTCTGCACTTGAAAAGGGGTACAATTTTAAGTTAGAAGAATAGACTGCATAGATCTATTCTGAGCTAATGCGCAGATTTGATTAGGTTTTTAGTTTAATTATGTATTGCATATTAATTGCCTAATTTGCATGATAATTAGCTAATTTTTTTTAGCTGTTCCTTGGCTGTTCCATTGATACATTATCTAAAGAACCATCATTGGATTTTGATGAAACTTGGTACATAGATACTCTGGGACAATGAGGAGACCTGATTAGTTTATTACTTTTGGGTAAATATGCATATTAATTACCTAATTTGCATAATGATTATTCACAATTTTCAGATTTCCACTGATATTTCAAGTACTAATTATCACATTTCAATAAAACTTGGTACATGGATGTCATAGGACAATGGACAGAACTGATACACTTTGTGTTAATATCCATGCATATTATTTACCTAATTTGCATAGTTAATACATTTTTGGCTTTTCTGCTGATATTTCAGGTACTAATCATCAAATTTCAATGACACATGGTACATAGATGCCCTAGAATATTGCGCAGACCTGATTAGTTTTTGTTTGAAATTCTGTGCATATTAATGACCTTATTTGCTTATTAATTAAACCAACTTTAAGCCTTCTCATATTGTTTCTCAAGAACCATTTCAATAAATCATTGATACCTCAGACCACTAAAGAACAGACTAGCAACGCGGCTTTTCCTTTGGTCAGATGTGTGCCACGTTTGTTTTTGGGCTTAATTTTTTAATACAATAAACAACAGATTGAACTAACGTGACTATAACGTAATAACGCGATATTCATTATTGTTTCATCAAATCACGCGAGATACTGCGAGATGTACACAGAAAGTAGTATTAGCTGGGTCATAGTTCATTCATTTTTCTAGTGTTGTGTCTGCTTCACGGTGCTCCAGGAAAATGGCTTCATCTGTGTAAGGGAAACATTCTTTTTGAGTGAATTTGTTGATTGGGACAATGACGATTATGACTGGGAAATTATAAAAAAAAAGGGAATAGAGACAATTATAATTTATGCTCCATGAACATACTAGCTTCCTACCGAATATTAAATGACTTCAATCGCTTAGTTGCGAGAGTATATAAAGTTTTCAAACGCAGTGTCCACAATAACTACGAATTGTCCACACAAAGGAACACTGTCGACGGCAACACCGCCATTTGATCTTTATAGAAAAAGTTCGATAAATGTTGGGAAAAGTCAAAGTAACGAGAAATATTACTATACATTTGCTCATTATGTATTCATAAATATCATCATAACTCACCCAAAAATTGACCCATTTGGACAGAAATGACGACGATGGAAAGGTCAGAACACATAGATATCATTTCCGGTTAGATCTGAAAGTATGCACCTGCGATTTCTGCACTAGAATGACATTACGAAAACACACGAAGCAGGTAAATGCGAGTACGTACGGGAATCTTCGGGTAGACTTGTGTCAATAAACTACCAGCAAGGTCTGCCGTGGTACGCATCGTACTGGCGTAATCCCCAATTCACACCTAAAACAATAGACGTTGCGAGTCTGTTTTTTAGTGGTCTGAGTTGATACACAGAATAATGCACAGATCTTATTGGTTGTTTGAAAGCATTTTCACTTGTTTCTCAAGTGCCATTCAACAGATTTTAATGAAACATGGTAATAGATGCTCTGGGATGATGCGCAAACCTGATTAGTTTTTCATTGAGATCAATATGATATGACTGATGTTTAGATGACCTTATATGGTCATGTGACTTCAATAATATGCATTACTATAATATCTTATGTACTGTTGGAGATAGCATGGAGCTAGAGTCATACAACTGGTGTTATAATTTTGTTGACAAGATATATGACCAAAATCATCATATATGGTCATTATTTCATTAAATATTTATAATAGTTGAATCATAGCTACTTGGAACCACCCTGATGCTTGCAGTTATATTTTTAAATGGTGTATTTGCTCTAATAGAAGCACATGTGCTTACTGTAATATATAGTAACTACAGTATTCCTTATTTGTACTTCATGCCTCCAATACCTTCAGTTCGCTGAAGTTCTTTCAAAGCTTTTCACCGATTTCTAGTTTACTGGGACCCCTTCCCATATCAGAGCATCCCATATCATGTGTGATGGAGTGACATATTTTGAGAAACTTGTCCTAATTTAAAATTTGGTATTTTTAGAACAATTCTATAGCACAAAATGTTGCACACAATTTTATTTTTCGACACTTTTTAAACCTAGATATTTGAAATACATTAACATTCACAATACATAATTTTTTCAGCTTGCAGGTATGTCTCTAGCGTTATATCTCTTCCGCTTTTACCATAAAGTTCTTATACTTTGGTAAAAGCGTAATAATGCTGCCAAAATGGCTCCTATCAACTAAAATACAAATGTACAACCATAATTTTCTTGAAACTTAGGCTAGTGACCCCCAAGTCAATATCCTTATATTGCCCGAGAGGACAAATTGACAAATGAATGAATGAATTATGGTTATTTGCATTAATAAGTTGGCTTCTACCATATGTTCGTTCATCCATTCGAAGCCATTTCTCAGAATTTGACATATCAAACTTGAGTGTATTTTCATTACCATTTCATCAAATATAGCTGATTGGTAGCCATTTTGGACCTCAAAATTGCTAAATTCTGATCTATATGTGTATGTTTCCAGGACAGCTCATCAGAGCTGTACAGGGCAATTTCATTCAAACTTGCAAGTCGTATCTTTTTTGAGATTAAAACATTAATGATTAACTGGTGCCAATTTTGTTCGCTCCGCTGTCGACTTTGTCGAGCGTCTGTCATCCGCGTCAACTTTTTCAACCTTTTCTTGAAAACCACAAGCCTTATTATTTTGATCCTTATAATGTACCTTGCATATTTACCTTGGGCAAACTGCTCTTAGATTTGTTCATTTTGTGATGATATTTTCAAATCTCTAATTTTAATGAATATTTTTTTGGTATTTTTGGTAAAAAGTGATATTTTCGACTTCGAGCAAGTCTGATTGTTTCGATACTAAACATATAGGTACCTCAGGTAGACCTCTCTCATATTTATTCATTTTCTAATGATATCTTCAGTTCTTTAATTGAAATGTGCATTACTAACAGCGGGACTATTTCAGTCGAGAGGCTGCTTATTTTCAAGTAGCAGACCCATTTTTTTTTTCAAGTAGCCAACTGATTATCAAGTAGTGGAACAAATTTCAAGTAGCTGACCAATTTTTTTTTTCAATTAACAGATCAATTTTCATGTATCAAATCGATTGTCTATGTGGACCACCGTAGTGGATTGAATACTAAAAATTGAATAAATATTTAATAAATGCAATCACCAATTTTATCCATAATGACAAATGCATAGATCACAGATGTCCTAGTTTGAATTAAAATTATTAATGGAAATATGTCATACTGGTAGTTATTTCAATTATCTGTTTTTTTGATTTTTGTCATTGAATATGTACCTATGATAAGACTTCTGATGATTGCTTGTTTCAGGTCAGTTTATTAGCCCCCACCTGGACAAAGTCCGGGAGGGGGCTTGTAGTTTTGCCTTTGTCAGTCTGTTCGGAATGATTTCTTGGAAATGACTGGGCCGATTTTTTGGAAACTTAGTACAAAAACATAGTGGTCAACTATACATGTGTTCTGACGGCCATTTTTAATGCCAAAATTCAGTCAAATCCAGTCCTTGTATGTCCATCGTCATTTCTTGGAGATGGCTTGACTGATTTTGTTGGACTGCCCATACAGATGTACGTTGTTTTACTTTTTTGAAACAATCAAATATGGCCGACTGGCAGCCATTTTGATTGTTAATCATGGCTTTTGTCTGTCCATTGATATTTCTCAGAGATGCCTTGACTGATTTCAATGATACTAGGTACAAAGACACAGTGAGGAGGTTTGCATATTCACATGGATTTATTTCCTGATTTGATAAAATATGGCTATCTCGAGCCATTTTAATGTCAAATCCTGTAAAATCCAGTTTTTTGGGTCTGTCCATCATCATTTCTCGGGGATGCCTGGACCGATTGTGCTTAGACTTGGTACAGAGTGCAGATGCACATTGATTTATTTTTTCAAGGAATCAATTAATGAGCTCATTTCCATATTGAATTATTAATTTGAATATCTTGTGAACTAATTGTCCATATCAGACCAATATGCAATATTGAGTTTCAATTTAAATTAACAAGCTCATTTGCATATTTAATGAATTTTGAATTTTACCAAATTTATTAGAGATAAATTAACTGTTAACTTTGAGTAACAAACTTTTGATTTTCAACTTAATCTTCCTACTCGATTTTATACATATACATTCAAACTTTATAATCCATAGTCAACTATAATCACATCTGACAAGTGGGGGCTGTGTCATCTTCAGATGACTTGTTGTTATACTGTAGATCTTAGACCTCTATGATTATACCCACATGACATGCTTTTATTTAAGCACATATCATAATTTATAAATTATTACTTTGTGTCAATTTATTGGTGTTGCTGTGGCTTATGGTAATTTTAATTACCGTAGTTCCTGTTCATATACAGTCCGAAAATAGGGAATTTATACGGAGTGACATGGGTATGTGACAAGCCTTGGCTGATCACATCTAATCTTGAAATATGTATGCATTTTGTTTTTTGCAATTTGATTCAAGCAATTTTCATCAAAATCAGGTATTTTTGCCATTTTGATGCATCGAGTGCCATTAATGTTAATATAATAAATAATAATTTAATTTGCAGGTAGAGGACAATTAAATTTGATTGTATTGGTATATTTATTTCATAGAAATTGGTCATGACTAAGGTTTATGTAGGGTCGCATCAGTAAAATATGGAATTACCATTATACTGATGTTAAATCACAGCTGTCGGTCTGGTATAGCAACAGCTTGGAAAATTGCATGACATGTGATTTGGGTTATTTTGCTTTAAATAAAGCATGATATTTTGTGATACAATAATTAAATAAAACTATCTCTTATATTAATATATCTGATAATGAGTCTTCATCTAAAAGTAATTTTGCATAAATCAGAGCATATATTTTAATAAAAGATATCCAAGAGCAGCTATTTTTACTGATATCATTTATTGCCTGCCTGTCTACAGGCATGGATAACTATTGCCACATGAATGTATAAAAACTAGATTACTCTGAACTTTATAGTTTTGTGAATGGAATTTTGTTTTTGTAACAGTCAGTTCATCTTTTATTATCTGTGATCATCTTAACGAGTGATTAAAAAAATTTGGCTTTCAAATTACCAAATGATATTTTGTGCTCTGTTTCAGTTTATGTGTTCTCTCCATGCATGCAATTGATATTGCCAGCTGGCCACTTAGAATAAATCTAGAGCAGGTTATAATACCTTTTTATTTGTTTAATTAAAATTCAAGGGCACTAATTTCAAATGTCTGAAAATACTAGTATAATCTATTATATTACAGACACTATTATTCATATCAGTTATTAACTGTTTATCTGGGTACCTGGTAGTAATATTTTATAATTGCAGTGACAATGACACAGTTATTGGTAATGCATTTGGTACATTCATGTCTAGTTGCTGTTTTATACTTGTGTGAGTGTGAAACTGAAACACACACTGCCGATGTGAAATGATGAGCTGTTTTGATCAACACAGTTTGATGCAAACTGAATAATTGGAAAGAAAGTTTCTTAACGTTTAAATCATGAATCAATTGTCTAGCAAACTAGAGATTTCTTGACACAAATATTGCAAAATATTGTAAAATGACATAATTTCATAAAAGAAAAATTTTTGCAAGTCCCTAAATATCATGTAATTTTGTAGCGGTGAAAATTTGTTGGGGTTCTATGTATGACACAGTGTTATATTCACAAAATTTTGTCTTTGTGAATGCCACAAAATCATCAAAATGCAAAAAATTCTTATCAAAATGTGGTTTACAGTATTAAAATGTTGTTTGTTTTTTTCTGCATACATTTTATTTCAGCAAATGCCTGGATATTTTCATCCATCTCCCTGAGTGAAAATTTTGGAGAGAAGCTACGACATTGGAAAACTGCAGTTTTAGAAGCGAATGTACACGAGGCAAATTCTTTAGCACGGCGCAATGGTTCTTATCTCACATATACAGGGGACCTTTTCTTATCAGAATCTGGAACATGGGAACCAATTAGTCCACCCATCCAGTTGAACAGTTCAGATCTGTGTCCAGAAACAAGGCTTCCAGATTTAGGTATAGTAATTAGATGCTGTTATTAGTATTGACATGTATCAACCTGAAATTACTGGTTACCATATCATTACTGCACATTTAATTGCTGCATTAGAAATATTGGCAGTGAGTTTTTAGCTCCGCTGTCGACTTTGTCGAGCGGAGCTTATCATATGAGTGATTGTCCGTCGTCGTCGTCGTCGTCCGTGTCAATGTTTTACTTTTTCGACTTCTTCTTGAAAACTACAAGCCTAAATGCTTTGATACTTGG